CCGGGGGGCCCCCTGCCATTGCCCCAGCCCCACTGGTTTGGGTTTGGCTAAGGGGGGCAAGAAATTTGGAGGTCTAATGGCCCCCCTGCTGCTTTCTGAATAGCGTCGAGTGTTTCTTTACACAGTTTATTTACCCTTTGGCTCCCTCCTCCTACGTGTTTTGGCAGAACAGTGGGTGAGGGTGCCAGGGAGGGCACTCCAGACTCACTGGCAGAGGGGGTGCCAGCAGGACCCCACCAGCTGGGTGCTGCTGCCCTGCTGTGACTGGACAGGGGGGGGGAAAAATGAGGCTGGGGATGAACTGGGGGATTTTCCTGCTTGGCACAGCCCGTGGGGGTCCAGCAGGTCAGACCCACGTTGCTGGTGCAAACCTGCTGCTGGCAAAGCTCAGCATCCCAGCCCGGGAGGTGGGCCCCACAAGAGAGACTTTTGGGGTCTTGATGCTGTCCCCCCCAAAGCCAGAGCAGGACACAGAGCCCCGAGCCCCCCAGCAGCATCCTTCCAGCTGCCCTGGGTGGCTCTGGGGAGATACAGAGAGGATTTCAGGGCCAGCATCGTGCCAGTCTTTGGCTACCTACAGTATTTTCCCATCATACCCAACATTGCTGGGCAAGATCAAGCCCTGGGGTGGGGACACCCCACCCCATCCTCATCCTTATCCTCATCCTCTCCTCTACCAGCTCCCACATCACAACAACACCGAGGTTTTTTTTTTACACCATCCTTTTCTTTTTGGTACCAGTTCCCCTTTCTCACCTCCCTCCCTTACCATTTCTTATAAAAATAAGATTGTGCTTATTTATAAAATAATAATTCTTTTTTTTTTTTTCTTTTAAGAAAAGTCTCCAGTTAAAAAACAGGTGGTATATCAAAATATGGTGAAACTTTGGCCATCAACCACTAAACTCTAATTAAAAATCCCAACTACAAAGGCCTTGTGCTGTGATTGTTAGCTGCTGGAAAGCTTCACCCTCCAGCACCAGTGGTCAGGATGAGACCCTGTCCTTAGGACACACTCAGAAGCCACCCTGTTTTTTTTTTTCCACCACATCCCCATCATCCTTTAGCAGAATTATTCAACCTCTAAGAGCTTTAGAGATGCAGGAGAAGCCTTGGGATAAACACCACAGGGACCACGCCGGGAAGAGCCACGCTCACGAGGTGGTCACAGGAGTTTTCTTCTCCAGAGGAGAGTCTTAGTGCTTTGAAAACAAGATGTTCCCATGGTTCATCAAAGGAGAGAGGCAGATCCTTGGTGGGGAAAGGGATTTGAGAGCAGAAGTAAAATGCAAACGGGTCTGTAAGATCCAGACATATATAAACATACATACCTTGATATATTTATATATGGAACCTTTATATATTCAAAGTTTGGGATGTTATTGCCACGTCCTTAGAGATGACCTGTTCTTTTCCATTCTCTTTCATTTTTCTCTTGGGAGGGGTGGTTTGTTGGGTTTTTTTGTTGTTGTTGTTTTTTGATTTGGGTTTTTTCCCTAAAAAAGCTCCAAGAGCTCCCAGCTGCCTCGCTGGGACCGCTCCAGGCTGACCTCCAGCACATGTCTTTTGGAAGAACAATGTGGGTTGATGCTCTGCTGCCGGCTGTTCCTTCCTCCAAGGGACATCCCAGAGGTCCCCAGTTGGTCTTTGCTGGATTCTCCCTCCCCATACTGGCCTTTAGGGTATTTACATTTCTTTGGCTTGACTGGAACACGACAGTCTGGGAGGGTTTCTCCAGCGCTGGTTGCCACCAAGGCACCGCCGGAGCCACCGGCAGTGCTGAGGGTGGGGGCAAGGAGGAGAAGAAGCCACCTTGCCACGAGGCAACGAGGAAACACCAGCTGGCTTCCACTACCTCAGAGGAGTTTGGCTTCTCCAAGCCAAAATAAGACAACTTGTGTTTGGCACGGACTCCTCTGGAGGAGAAAGGCTGGACCACCAGTGGGACTCATGCCGGTGATGGGGGTTCTCCAGCCCGTGGTTTCCATAGCCTCAGTGTCCAGGGAGCAAGGTGGGGTGGGGGGAAAGGCAGCACTGAAGGTGAGGAGCCCCAGCTTCCCCCACGCCCCCCCGAGGACGGGCAGCTGGTCCTGCCCCCCGTGACCCTCAGACGACGAATTCGGGGACTTCATCGTGGGTGAGATCCAACGAGAAGTATTTGCTGGTTCTTTTGACGGGGAAGGTCTCCTGGATGTTGATGCACTGCTGGGCCAAGCAGCCGTTGCAGTAGAGCCCTTCCTCCTCCAGCCCGTGGGCACAGCCGAAGGTGTAGCTCTGGGCTGTGTCCTGGCAGAGGTTGGCCAACTGCAAGAAGTCCTTCTGGTAGAGCCGAATGTCATCCAGGCTCAGGCTGTGCCGGTCCGTCGACGTCTTCGGCTTCCTGCACGTCGTCTGGGTGGAGCAAAGAGGAGGCTCAGGACCCACCAGGGAGCCAGAGGAAGCCAAAGCCCTGGTGCCAGAAGGGCTCTGGGTCTCACCAAGGCTTTGGGACCCACCACGGCTCCACCAGCCCCACGTACCTGGGGTAGGGAGTCGGTGCTCTGCCCCCGCAGCTTCACCACCGTCTCCGAGGAGCTGGAGGTGGAGGAGCTGATCTCTTTTACGATAAGCCCTATGTGGAGAGAGGAAGAGGAGGGTGCAGAGGTGATTTGGAGGCTTCCCAGCTCTTTTGGGATCTGTGCCTGCTGCCCTGGGGGGGTTTGCTCTTGCTTTGGGGTGAAGGCACCCTCAGCTCAATGGGATGCCTTCACTCCAATGGCTCTGCTAGCAACCAGCTTTACCTACAAAGCATCCCAAATTCGCACCAAAATGGCATCCAAAGCCCTCCCCAGGGAGCCTGGCACTCTGGAGACCTCCCAGTAGCTCCCAGCATGGAGCTAGAAGTGCAGGTGGCTCTCTGGGCACAGGCAGAGGTCTGGAGAAGCCAGGCTCACACGTGTGATAACAGCACCCGTGCTCATGGGAACAAGAGAGGGGTTGTCATGAAGACAAGAGCAGGGGCCAGCAACTGAGAACATCACCCGGGTTGCATCCATGGCCCACAGGCAGCTCCTGCCATTGTCCCCTGGTATCTCCAAAAACCAAGGTACCCACTCCAGGTTTGCACCAGTAAACATGGGTCTGACCTGCCAGAACCACACGGGCTGGTACGAGCAGGACAATCTCCAAATGCCAGGTTTGTGCCCAGGCACACACCTCCATGGCACGGGGTGGCTCCCCAGAGCATCAGCCCTGCTCCAAGTACAACCTGCATCTTTCCTGGGCAACTCTTTCTTTTCTAGCTTCACCAAGTTTATCCTATCTCTCCTTCAACCCACTGGGCAGAGAGTGTTTCTGTTTCCCACATGGACACCTCAGGCTCATTTTGCTCTGTTGAACACCAAAGGTGGCTTGCATTGAGGAATCACAGAATGGTTTGGGTGGGAAGGGACCTTAAAGATCATCTAGTTCCAACCCCCTGCCATGGGCAGGGACACCTCCCCCTAGAGCAGGTTGCTCAAAGCCCCATCCAACCTGACCTTGAACACATCCAGTGATGTGTCATCCACAGCTTCCCGGGGCAACCTGGGCCAGGATCTCACCACCCTCACAGTGAAGAGCTTCTTCCTAATTTCTAACCTAAGTCTCTCCTCTTCCAGTTTAACCCCATCACCCCTTGTCCTACCACTACAAGCCCTGCTAAAAAGCCCCTCCTGAGCTTTCCTGCTCCTTCCCCCCAGTACCCCCAAGTCCTCCTCCTCGGGGCAGGAACTGGCAAGAAGAAGAACCACCACCTTACCCGAGTGCCCGTTGAACTTGCGTGACAGCAGCATGTCCTCTGTGATGTAGACGCACATGTCGGGGCTCACCTCCATCTCACCAGCCTGCTCCAGCTCCCGAGGGTCATCCACCAGCATCTCGATTTCTGCAGGCCAGGAGGAGAGGGGGTTGAAGAAGATGCACCCTCCAAGCCCCGATCACCCGGAGCTGGAAAATGCCCAGCCTGGCCGGTTCCTCACCATCATCCTTTGCCGCTCCTTGCCGCCGCTCTCCACGCCGGAGGTGTGGGAGCTCCCGTGGCTGGTCATGGAACTGCAGGTCTTCAGCTTGCGGGGGGCTCCGGCGCCCTCCTCGGGTCCCAGCTCGCGGGGTTTGGGGTCGGTCTCGATG